GACAGGTGTTAAGATGAAGATTAATGTATGCTTTCAACTGCTGCTGCTTCACTTTAATCAGATAAAAGACGTAGCTTTGTTCTTTACCACTACACACAAGGAGTACACAACATACACACACACCACCTCCACCCATTTCCAACCGATATACTATTTCACGGTTTTACCACTAATTAATTATTTCCTTAATAAATACAAATAGATTGTATATTACTGACAATGACGCTGCTAAAACCATATGCTGCTACACATTCCGTTGTATAATAGCAAGCTTTTTTGGAATAAGTATCTTTTTTATTGTGGTTATGCAAGTAGTTTATAGGCTGATGGTATCTGTCCTGCAGTAGATAACAAATGCTTTGCAAACACACATTCTGTCTTGTTTCTTCTCTCTAAACTATTTTTTTTTTCTACCACACCTTTCCCTTCCACTACCTTCTTAATATGCTTCGATGTACCTTTGGCCACTAAACTAACCACCTCTTTAGCATTGTGTTTTTATAGCCTTCTATCTTTAAGGGTGTCAGTGACTTTGCTGGAAATAGCATAACTGTAGGAGTAAATTAGTTATGTATGCTTTCCTGAGTTTGGGGGTTTCAGCATAATCCAAAGAAAGAAACTTTGAATTGACTGATATAATTTTTTCTAATAAATAAGTAGAAAACATTAATTTGTCCAGCAACATTTGCTGTTTTATTATACTTTTTTTTTTCCCCCAAAAAAAACACTTTCAATCTCCCACTGAAGAGTGTTCTGCAGATTTGTACTAACTTATGAAGGGTTTGATGCTGATTGAGGGGGTGACATCGATCCAAAGCCTTGGAGCTGAGTCATTGAGAGGATGTGCCTTTGGTGTGTAAACTCATCCTACATCCTACAGTGAGGAAAAAAAGTATTTAAACACCTGAGAAAATCAATGATAATATTTGGTATAGTAGACTTGTTTGCAATTAGAGAGGTCGAACATTTCCTGTAGTTTTTCACCAGGTTTGCACACACTGCGGGAGGGATTTTGGCCCATTCCTCCACACAGATTTCAGTCAAGTTTTCTCCCTCCAAAGATTCTCTATTGGGTTTAGGTCTAGACACTGGCTACACCATTCCAGAACCTTGATATGCTTCTTCCAGAGCCACTCCTTGGTTATCCTGGCTGTGTGCTTCAGGTCATTATCATGTTGGACACAGCCTCCACCCATCTTCAATGTTCTGAGGGAAGGAGGTTATTCCCCAAAATCTCACAATACATGGCCCAGGTCATCCTCTCCTTAATACAGTGCAGCCGCTCTGTCTCGTGCAGAAACACACCCACAAAGCGTGATGCTAACACCCCCATGCTTCACAGTAGGGATGCTGTTCTCAGGATGGTACTCATCATTCTGCTTCTTCCTCCAGACTTAGTGGAGTTATGGCCCAAACGTTTTATTTTGGTCTAATCTGACCTGTGGCTTTCTCCATGACTCCTCTTGATCATCTGTTAAATGAGGAAGTTATGTCCCCTAAAAAAGGCCATTGTGCCTCTGGGGCTTCATCACGGTTCTTTTCCTGGGAGCAAGTTATTTTTTACTACTCTTAACTCAAACTGGGTATAAACATGTAAAAAGGACTATAAAACAGGAGTAAAAAAGTAACAGAGTTTATTCCAGATCAGGTTGTTACAGGACAGAGAAAATGCTTGGAGTTTGCACAGCTGTGGTCTCAAAAATCACGTTTGCGAGCGTCCGGCAAAGATTGAGCCCCGACAAGGTCATCTCCTGCTTCTTATACCTCATGAGTCTATGTGTTGCATCAGGTGGATTCTCAGCTGTCCGTATCAGAAACTGACATGCCATCCATGCCTTGAACTTCATGCACCTTGCCTCTATGCCTCAGGGTTACAGATAGCTCTCCTCTATCAGACCGGCTCCAAGATGTGCCCATATCCTGTGTATTTTTAAAGACACGAAGGCGTCCCTGATTAATGACCTCCGTACACACAGTGACATCCACAATGTGAAGGAAGGCCGTCTACTCTCTCTAATCTGTCTAATAAAGTAACAATGCACATGATGTATAAAGAATAAACCTAACACATCCAAATGGCCAATGGCAAACTTAAGACGGGCCTTGACATGTGCTAGATTAAGCAGGGGACCCTTCCGTGCCATGCATAATTTCAAACCATGACGTCTTAATGTATTTCCAACAGTAACCTTGGAAACGGTGGTCCCAGCTCTTTTCAGGTCAATGACTAGCTCCTCCAGTGTAGTTCTGGGCTGATTTCTCACCTTTCTTAGGATGACTGAGACCCCAGGAGGTGAGATCTTGCATGGAGTCCCAGTCCCGTGGGAGATTGACAGTCATGTTTAACTTCTTCCATTTTCCAGTGATTGCTCCAACAGTGGACCTTTTCTCACCAAGCTGTTTGGCAATTTCCCCGTAACCCTTTCCAGCCTTGTGGGGGTATACAATTTTGTCTCTAGTGTCTTTTGATAGCTCTTTGGTCTTGGCCATGTTAGTAGTTGGTTTCTTTCTGATTGTATGGGCTGTCTTAATGCAGCTAACAACCTGAAACAGGTGCATCTAATTTAGGATAATGGATGGAGTGGAGGTGGACATTTTGAAGGCAGACTATCAGGTCTTTGGGGGTCAGAATTTTAGCTGATAGGTGTTTAAATACTTATTTGCAGCTGTATTACAAAATTTAATAGTTAAAAAAAATCATATATTTTGATTTCTTGATTTACTTTTAGATTAAGTTTCTCACAGAAGACATGCACCTACAATGACTATTTCAAACCGCATTTTCAAGTGGGATAACTTGCAAAATAGCAGGGTGTTCAAATACTTATTTTCCTCAGTGTATATCCAGTTCACTGAGCTTTCTTGAAGAAAAACCAGATGATTGGGTGAAAGACTTTTATAATGATCTTGGCTGTTTAGTGTATTTCTTATTGTCTCTTATTGTCTTTGGCTCCATATGTAAAACGCCTCCAACAAAGCTGGGCGTCTTCATCCCTTGCAGTTTCACAACCTTTCACGTCTTCTAGAATGTGACTAAAAACCGTTTAAGACTTGGACTAGATTAGAAACATCTCAGGATTTAAGACTGACTTGTGTGATATTAATGAACCTTTGATTTAAATGCATGACATTTTTTAAACCTGGTGGAGAAATGGGATGGATGAAGCTTCGGATAAAAAAAAGTAGTCTAGTTTCCTGTCATTTCCAATGCAAATTTCTCCCCTTCAGTGAATCCACTTCCCCTTAATGGTTTTACGGTGTGTTGAGGAATGTTCATTGAAAGCTTCAGCTGGAGTGAATTTTTCCTCCAATACCTGCTGCTGGATTCACAATGTAAAATGTTCTCCAAAATGAAACTTTTATTGAGAAAACAGGTCAAAATTAAAGCGGAGAAATGTCCCTTCTTAGGTAATGGTAGTTATCGAGAATAAAGAAGGATGTGTGAACCAAACCACCCAAAGACAACCCAGGCCAAACATGCCTGCAGCCTGACCTACCTGAGGCCTGATTCTAATTTCTATTTCTGTTGGAGGTTTTCTTTCTTGTCTGTCTGAGGGAAGGACTTCCTCTTGATGGCTTTTCTGGTGACATTAATCTAGAAAAGTAGTTGGCCTGACCTTCCTCTGTGCATTTTGTGGAACTCTTTAGAGGAACAACTTTTCAGCCTGTTTCTGTATCTGTATACGGAACATAATTCACAACAAATGTCATCTCTGGACTTTTAGGTTGTCAGTTTCAATTTATATACAGAAATGGATGATTGAATCATTTCCGTCAGACGCATGGTTTAAAATTAGGTTCAGTATTTTTAGACTGTGATATCAAACAATGTATTAGATTTCAGTGCATCATGCTGACATGGAGTTTTCTAAGGAAACTCAGCTGATTGTTTCCAGCTATAATGCTTTGCCTTTTTCTGCTCATATTTTACGCTGCTTTGCTGAAATATTCGTAGGAATAGAATTAAGCTATTTAGGTTTTATGTTCTCGTTAAACACAAATTCCTTTTTTAATTTGAAATCAGTAAGAAGTGAATAATCTCTTCTTTTACTGGAATTAAAGTCTTTGGAGAAGCATGTCATCCTTGTACACTGCAAAAACAATCTAGAAATGAGTAAAAAAAGTCTTAAATTAAGTACATTAACTTTTAATTTGAGCAGGAAAATAAGATGATTTGCCAATGGAATTTGTACTTTTACTCTTAAAATTAGATAATTAGATAATATGCACTTGAAATAAGACAATGTAATCGTTTTTTCTTATTTTAAATGTAAATTGTCTTGTTCCATTGACAAGGTGTTACACTTACCTCATTAATTCAAGAAAAAATACACTTATTGTAAAAAAAAATGACTCATTGAAATTCACATTTTTTGCAGTGTGAGAATGGATGGAGAGCGACAGTGAGGGTTAACTCTCTGTAGATTTTCTATTGGATCTAGACCTGGACTTAAATTGCCCTAAAAAATTCATATTTTTTATTTAAACCTTTACTTTGCAGCTGGCTGCACGTTTTGGACACTTGTCCTGCTGGACTAAGAACTTCCCCCATCTGTAACCTTTAACAGGTTTTCTAGAAGGATTGTTTTCTATTCAGGTTTCTCATCTATCCGGCTTTTAAAAACTTCTCTGTCTATGCAGAAGAAAAGTATCCTCAAAGCATGATGCTGCCACCACCATATTTTAGCATGGTGATGCTGTTCAGGAAAGATGCACTGTTTCTGTCTTGCTCTGTAATTTCCATCTTAGCCAATGAATTTAAATCTGGTTAGATCTGATCAGAAAACATCTATGAACTGTATTTGCTGTTCTAAAAGCCCTACACCAGCTTTTAAACCTGACTTTGCTTGGCATTCCTCATATAAAGGGTGTATTGAGACCTGATTTGAGTTGTAAACATCCAACAGTTTTCCTTTTAATAGATAAGCCTAATCTGTGGACCTCCATGTTCCCCCAGCAGTTAGGCCAAGCCTAGTAACGGGCCTTTTGTTTCTTCTTAGCCCAGATGCATCCCTCTGCTCTGTGACGCCATGGACTGACAGACAAATGCTGCAGGGGGATCCAGAATGAATGCCGATCTGCTTCTGCAGGAGACGCTGATCAAGCGTTCGCAGCAGAAAAAAAGGACATCACCACTGAACTACAAGGAACGAGTGTTTGTCCTCACCAAGACCAGGCTGACATACTATGAAGGAAAACCAGAGGTCACTTTAATTCCTTCTATTCCAATATGAAACTGTTTTATTAGCCCTGTTTTGAAAACATGTCAGTCAGGATTTTGACTTTTGGTTCTACTCTGCTCCAGGTTTGCAGACATTTCAAAGGCAGACATAAGATTTAGTTGGGAATCTATATGTATATATATGTAAAAATACAATTTTATTTTTTTCTTTTACTTCTTTTTCAGGTGAAAAAAGTAATTAGTGGTAAAATGCACAGTCTATACCTGGGCATTTTGACCTTTGAGTATTAACCACAGAAACAGCCTTTTAAACGCAGCTTTTTGCTGATATGATTTATGTCCAGGATGCTAACCTAGACCTGTTCCAAATTGAGGTCTAAGAGGAGGAAGGATCTGCCATGATGCTTTTCTCTGCAGTCCAGTTAGTTTAGTCCAGTCTAGTCCTGAACTGTTTTATTGCTCAGCCAGATGGATTAGTTTAACCCTTTATAGGGAAAGTTACCATTTCTGATCACCTGCATACCTTCTTACAAATGGACTCCCCCAATCATCCCTTAGTGATGTTTAGAAGCACAACATTTATATCCAGCCATTCATGTGGCTTTAGTGGTATTTTAGCATTTGACCAATTAGATGAGCCCTTGCATGATGAATTACCTACTGTAAATTAAGTTGGAAAAAATAGTAAACAAGTTAAGAAAAAAGATTAAAAATATTAATAAGCTAATATAAAAGTTAAAAAGTAAAGGTAATAAGCTAAGCAAAAAAAAAAGTAAAAAAAAAAAAAAAATGTAAGTGCCTGTATCAGCATTCATCTACGGAGCCCCTAAAGGGACATGGAGGGAAAAAATAAACTTTTGCGAGATCTCGCAATACTTTTGCGAGATCCCGCAATACTTTTGCGAGATCTCTCAAAATTCCCGCAAAATCCCGCAAAAGTTTATTTTTTGCGAAATCTCGCAATACTTTTGCGATACTTTTGCGAGATCCCGCAAAAGTATTGCGGGATCTCGCAAAAGTTATTTTTTTCTCCTCCACGTCCCTTTAGGGGCTCCGTATTAATCTCTCTAAGGTACAAAATAATGTATTTCTTTCACTCTGAGTGTTTATCATGAATTCCTTATAGAAGCAATTTTGTTATTTTTATTATGCATTAGGGCAAGTGGCCGTTTCTTATTACATTTACATTAATTGTTGACAAAATATACATATATTTTGAATGTTACAAAGATAATAAGGTGTCCTGTCCCTCTTGGCTTAAAATTCTGATTTCCAGAGTATTTCATGAGTGTCGTATAAGGAGTTAATAATGGACAATGCCTCCTCTACTGACTTTACCTTACTATGGATTCCAAGTGTTACTGTGCAGCAATCCATACCAGTAACATGTCTGACCCTCTCGTGCATACAGACTCTTATTTCATAATGTATGACACCTCTTTACCTTTCCATGTCCAGTATCATGCCTTGCCCATTTGGGTCTAAAAAATGTTTGACTGTTGCACAGGAATCATAAAAATAGCCTCCATCTTTATCTGTGATGACCGATGATGGAGAGATTGCTGTAGTGCTGCAATGCCACACAGCCAGTGGAAATTACTACAAATCAGTACAAAATCACTTTTTCATGACATAAGTGTATTTTCCCT